TTTGTTTTAATCATGTATAGCAAAATGATTTCGCGTATAGGTTCATCCAAGTTTAGAATTCTTCGAGACGTTATTCTACTTAGTAGAACTTGAGTAAGCGAAAATTATTTTGTCTTTATTTCCTTCTAAAAGCTTCTTTGAATTGTTTGTTTTTAAAAGAATTTCAATTTACATTAAACTAACATATATGCTTTTGATTCTAAATATTCCTAAATTGAAAATTAATTTCTCGTTTGAGATAAAGAATGAGAGATAAATGTAAGATTAATTATTTCAAATAGGATTTCATTTCCTGGAGTATTTTTGAAAAAAAAAAAAAAAAAAAAATTTGCGTATGTTAGAGATTGTGCGTTGTGTAATAGCTCAGGTGTGCCGGGTAAATACAAATTGGAATAAAATGCTCTCCGCTGTGAAAGGATATCAATAATAAGACAAATATGCATTACCATTGAATGTGCATATAACGGTAGCGACGTTCACAGGACGTAACATTTATTAGTATCGATTCAAACGTGAAATGACAGTGATAAAGAACTGTTCGTTGGCTGTAAACGGCAAACGTGAACGGACACATTTACGCGAACTTAAATATATAGTATATACACGAGAGTAACAATGAGAGGCGACTTTACCAGTAGTGAATATTATCTGGAGTAGGTGTTCGTACACAATTTGCTATGTAATACTATATACCCATATAACCAGGGCCATAAAGGCTTTCATTTCTAGAACACATATGCTTAAAGCATATATATGCACATTACTATCACTTTTATATTTACAAGAAAAAAAAAAAATTCTTATATATTACTGAATAAAATTGTTGATTTGTCGTATAACTAATTGAAACTACATTTTATACTTGAATATATTTGCATTTTTTCACATTTTCCTTGGATAATATTTATTTAAACAATTTTTGAAATATTCTTTCATTTTTTTTTTTTTTTTTTTTTAATAATATTTTTCAATACAATGTTATTTTTATAATTTTATTGTATATAAAAAATGTATTATAAATTTTTTATAATTTATTTATTGCATATAAAAAAAAATATTATAAATTTTTGTTTTATTATAAAAATGTAGTATAAATTGATTTCTTTTTTTTTAAATATTTAAATCTCTGATACAAATTCTAAAAAATTTGTTAATAACATTTTCCTAATCTCATTAGATTGACTCTTTTGACGTCAATGCTGTTGAAATTTAATTTCTAGATTTGAGAGTTATTTTCGTATAGCAAACAACAAAAGAGTTAAAATAAATTTTAATCTACACTAAAAAAAAAAAAATTATTTGATTCAAATACTTGATTACTTGACTATTATCAAATAAATATTTAATTGAAACAAATAATTTTTATTTGAATTAAATAAATTGTATTTGAACCAAATAATTTTTATTTGAATTAAATAAATTGTATTTGAACCAATATTTTTTTTTATTTAAAACAAATACAATCTCAAATAATGATTATTTGATACAAATAAATATTTATTTGATATTAAGTAACAAATAAAAACAAAAAAAAATTTAATTTTTAATTTTACAAATAACGAAATTATAACACGTGCGGATGAAGGTTTCCTTCTATTTTTCTTTAAAATCAATTCCTCAAACGAGGCGCGGAAATAAAATTAACTAAACACATGGTCAAGACTATTTTTAAATATTAGGCAAAAAAAAAAAAAAAATTTATTAAAATATTTAACCTTTACTCGTATCATAATATTCTTTCTTTTGAAAAAAAAGAATAAAATAAAAAAAAAGTTAAATAGTTAATGAAAATTTAGATTAATTAATTTTTATATATTAACAAAAACCTTTTTTTTAATAACTATATTAATTGACTAATTAGCAATTGGGTAAAATATAATTTTAGCTATAATTGATTTTAATTTTTTTAAAAACAAATTCGCAGATCTTTCTTTATTTCTCTCGACAAAAGAAGTGTATTTAAGAAAAGCTACAAATGTCAGTTTTCTCTCGAATATTTGCGTCCTCCTCGTGTGTGCATAGTTTTCAAGCAAGTTAATTAAGAATCCGGGGTGTCTCAAAGATTTCTTCAACACAGCTGCCTGACTCGATTCTCAGTAAAAGACGAGCAATTTACCTTTCACCAGAATAACAATTATATATGTACTACCCAATACAAGAAGATTTGAATTTTGGCAAACTTCCTACAGAATAAGAAATAAATGTATGAATAAAAAATAAAACCATAAAAGAATATTACATTTAACGTCCTTGAATAAAAAAAAAAACATTTTTATGTGAAAATTTTTTTCAATTAATCTACTTTTTACAATTATAATAGATAACAATATTTAAATTCAATTATTATTTGCAAATAATTAATGAATTATCAGTATAAATTAAACTTTATAATGAAAAAAACCCCAATGCAATAATTTAACAATTAATTAAATTATTTTATTGGCCCTTTTAGCAATATATGAGTAAAAAGTAATTAATTCGAAATGTATTGCTACCTAATTTGTAATTACTGACATATAATAAACTTAATTACAAAACAGGAATCATTAAATTAAATACATATTTGTAATCACGTCATGTTTCCTGAATCCAATTAACGAAACCTGCATTTAAGATTTATGTCTCTTATGACAAGAAAAAAAAGGATGAAAAACACATAAAATATTAAATTTTTTTTGAATTGACTTCTTTTTTTTTAAATAAATTAATGCTATGGCAATATGTGAAGGAAGTATTATAATATGTAACTAACAGTAAATTGGGAGGTATATTGCAGGCAGTAATGTTGCAGCATAGAGTTTGTTCTGTCAATTTCTGTTTAGTCACTCTTGTCAAATGTCTCTTTCCCTTTGAATGGTTCAACTGTAGATTACCAGTACACCATAAAAGGATCTCGATTCTAGATAGAGAATGACGTGACACAATGTTTCTTTATTTTATTTTTTTTTTTTTAAATAGACGATTACCGGCTTATTGTTGGGAGAGCTATATATACGTTCAATAATAAGCAATCATAGACATTGATGTCTTCCTTCTGTTTTTGAAATCTCTTTGCAATTTTATCTGTGGATTTAATCCAATTCTCATTTAGAAATTGTTTAAATAAAATAGAATAAAAATTGAATTTTTTTTTAATTATAAGCTCTCGCATGATTGGAATATAGGGAGTATTTTATTTATCAAGACCTTGGCCTCTAATTTATGCAGTGGGTTAAGAAAAATAACATCCTGATTTGAAGGTCCTATAAGGTTTGGAAAAAAATAAAACGTATTTCACAACAGTTCCCTTTGTGTAGAAGAAAACTTAATAATGCGTCTATTGTTACCGGAAATCCGTACAATCACTACTTTTTGATAAATAATATACCTACGTCATCTGTTTCAGTTGAAACAGTTCAAGACTTCTTTTGTAAAAAAAAAAAAAATTGACAATGCCGTTTTTATTAGAGCCACGAATTAAAAATCAAAATTTTTTTAATTATCAATTGAGAAATCAGAATTCAAAATTACGTAAGATGCTTTTATGTAAAATTAATTATATTTCATTTATTGTTAATTGTGTAAATTGAAGTAAATTATTGTAATTAAAGAAAGTAAATATTTAATTAAAAATAATTTTTTATTATAATGTTAATCATTATTATAATGAAATTATTTATAAAGTCAAATTTTTTCAGTCGCATTTTTTTTATTTGGATTAAAAAAGGTTCCCTTGTCTCTAGATGGACAAGAAAATGAGATATATATTCAGTTGCGCCCAGAAGTCAGAGGTCAATGTCTTGAAAATTAAATACCGCGCGCGATGAGAGAGCGAAACACCGAGAGCTTTGTCACTCAATTAATAAGACAAATCAAAAATATGCAAAAAAAAATTATTCCCCTTAATTTTAACAAGATTGCGCTAAAATTAATACATAGTCACACACTGTGTGCGGCCAATTTTGTGTACGATGCCAACGAACTCAATGCGAGAGAAATTTTCCACGAATAAAAAAAAAAAAAAAAATCACTTTTACGAATTATTTATTGTCGTCAACATATAGTATTCCACAAAAAACTAAAGATTTTTTTTTCTAATAAAAAGAAAATCAAATTTCATGGAAAAAAAGTATTTCCATTATATATGTGAATATAAATTTGATAAATCGCACAAGTGTGACAGTTGAGTTTTTCGCGGAAGTGACATTTTATATTCTTTTCGAATCTTCACTGTGTTTAAAAAAGAAATTGACACATTTTTTTTTTCACGTGAATTTTTATTTACTCTCTAAATCTGAATTAGTTTTTGCTTTTGAATTAGTAAAATTTAACTATCGAATTAGTAAAATTGAATTAATTTAAAGGAAATATAATTATAATTTTAATTTTCAAAAGAAAATAAATAATTATTATAACTTTAATATTATTAATTATAATTATTACTCTATTATTATTATTGCACATTTCCATGAGATTTGTAATAATAATGGATAAAATAAAAATAAAAGAATTCTTGAAAAATACATTACAAATATTTACTGGGGGTTTTTTTTTTTAATGATCTAAGCGAGTGATATAATTCAAAAGAGCTTCGTAAGAAGAAATAATAATAAAAAAGAAGTCAATAAATGTAAAATTGGCTCTCAGTGTAGATTATTGTTTAAAGTCTTTGGCTCTGCTCCAGATTGAAATATTGTGAACAAGTCTTTTCTTGAAAGTATCCCATTGGCCTAATCCTCATTTCAAAGCCAATGGAATACATAGACTCTTTGAAGTCACGATATTACGATTTATAACTTACATTGCCGAGGCCATTCGTCTCACACTCGCCTCAAACAAATCAGGTTGCTCACCGCATGCTTAAAATGCAGGTTGTATCATTCAATTTTACACAAATGGAAATAGGATTTAAATATATATAAATGGCGAAATTTTAATATAATTCGAAACTATTTTTTTTTCCCCCTTCGCATAATATTGAAATTAAAATAAAAAAAAAAAAAAAATTTTTTTTGACTCACCTTCATACATTTGTGCATATTGCGGAAATCCTGCAGCTCTCAACCATTTACAAGTTTCTTGGGCTTCAATTTCTGAAAGCAAACAGGAAAATATATTTTTATTAAATTTATTTAAAATAAAATGATTATGTAAAAAAGAAAGTTGCGCGATTATTTTATAGTTTCATTAAAAAATGTAATTACACAATTTTCCAAAGTAAAAAAAAATTTTGACGAATAAAAATTGAAATACTTGTCAAAACATAAACGATTTATATTTTGAGAAAAAAAAATTTTTTGTTTTTTAATGAATATTCTTGTCAGTGATAAATTTGAAATAAAAGAAAATATATATATATATATATATATATATTGATGGCTAAAAATATATCGTAAATGTCAATTTACATAAATATACTGTAAATTAATATAATTAATATATATATGAAAATCCTTCGGGGGAAATGTAAGCGCAAGATTAATGAGATCAGTTTTATATATATATATATATATATATATAAGAGAATGTAAGAAAAATATTTTGAGAAATGATTTGATACAAAGGGGAAAGGATGAGAAGAGTGAAGAGGGATATAGAAAATACATTATTGGCAATAAACGATTTACAATGTTGAGATTGATCACAAGTGTCACTATAGTTGATCTAGGAAAATCAATCTTCATTAAAGAGACAGTAACAATGACATTAGGGTTTAGCTTTTACTGAAGTTGTTTGTTTGTTTGTTTTTCATTTCACTGTGTATAGTGTAATCTTTCTCTTTGGCTAACAATAATAATTTAAAAAAAAAAAAAAGAAAAATTATTTGCCTCTTTTTTTTGTGATGTTGGATTCGTTTATATAAATTTATTCTTCTAGAGAGATGTTAAGCAGAGTAGATCTTAACGTCAATCCTTTCAAGGCCGATTTCAGTCTCTTTTGCATACGCAAGATCGATGGCCGATCACATATAGGTATATGAATGAGCTTCAGATGATCTACACTTAAATTTGTAATTGAAAGTATTTGCCAGACTCTTTTTTTTCCAGTTTCTATTTTGAGAAATATGAAAAATTTCTTAATCGTTATTATTCGTTATTTATGTTTTCTTTCTTTTTATCGATCTTTACTAATATGCTTTACACGTGGAGTAAGAAAATTATTGAAATACTATTTATTCGGACATAAATTTGACCGAATTTTTTGTTTAGCCGAATTTTTGTTTACTTTAAACAAATTTCGTTTAATTCAAATATAAATATTTATTTGATATGTGTGTAAAAGGTAGTTATAGCACAGCTTCCTAAAGGAATGTTGTTCGCGTTTTATACATACGTATAAGACAACGACACTCGTGAGCCGAGATGTCCACGTAGTGGCGTGTTTTGCGGAAAACATGAATAAAAGTCACTTAGTCAGTTGTATAGGTAAATATATATATATAATGGGGTTGCTTTCGTGCCAACAGCCAGAGACCTATTCGCTATAAAAGGTCTTGCCCGTAAATCTTGATGATTACCTATACGACATTTGCCATGCAGGACAAGAGAAGTCCTGTCATTTTGAAAAATTCCATTTTTTCATACGCACGCATTATCAAATGTATCATATCTGTCTAATTTCCCATAAAAAATTATATACAATATTATTATTATTATTATTATTATTATTCATACCAAAAATAATTTTCTTTTTAATTTAATAAAATGTCTTATTTTAATAATGCAACATTTTTTAAGATACACTAAAAAAAAATTATTTGATTCAAATAATCGGTTATATTTGACTATTATCAAATAAATATTTATTTGTATCAAATTATTATATTATTTGAGACAATTAAATCGTGTTTGTTTCAAATACAGAAATTATTGCTTCAAATACAAATTAATTTAATTTAATTATTTGGTTTCAAAAATTATTTGGTTCAAGTAATTATTTATTTGATAATAGTTGATTATTTGAATAAAATAATTTTTTTTCAGTGTATAAATTAATATATATTGATTAAATTAAAAAAAAAAAAAATTCGATTAAAATAAAGTTTATACATTAAAAAGTTGGGCTATTAAATTGAACTTTTAAAAATTATTGGGGGAAGGAAAATATTTTACTTTAGTATATATATATGTATACAAAATTTATTAGCAATAATTTAATATTATAATATCGTTAATGAAATTTCTAATTGAATCTCATATTAGATTCGATATTGAATTTTAACTTTTTAACTTGGATATACTGATATATATTAATTGACTAAATGAAAATAAGTAAAGGATTTTTTTAGACCTATTTATATTGATAAATATAAGTTTCTCCTTTTGATGATTAAATTTGAATCTATTTTGAAAGGAATAAATTTACGATAAAAATAAAATCATTTAAATTAATTATTATTTGGACAAATTTTTATTTGACTTAAATTCTTATGTGGGATAATTTGAATTTTGTTTTGTATTTAATAATTTTTATTTAAATTTAAATAAAAATTATTTTTTAATTAAATCAAAATTATGCCCCAAAAGAATTGGATCAAAAAATTTGCTCTAGGAGAAAAATAATAAACCGATAGAATTTCGATTATAAATATAAATATGATAAATGAATATAAATTTGGAGAAAATTCCATACATTCGTTTATTTAAAATAAATACAGAGATTAATTGGAATTTCAAAGGAAATCGTTATATGAATATTATTACATAATTATAATAAAACAAAATGTTGATTGCAAAGTGAAATTGCGATGAATGGAAATGATTTGGAAGTTGGTTTATGAGTCAGTTTTATAAGTATTATAGTTATATATCATATCTGATTTCTGGGCAAATCTACGATTTGCAACGAGACAATATTGTTCGAGAAATGTGCGGTGTAAGTGACCGCAGATATATAAATGCATTTATTGTGATTTATGTCAATGGTCTATTTGCTTTCATAAGAGCACGACAATATCTAATATGTCATGGGATTTATCGGGAAATAATCTTTTGTCAAAATAAACAACTAATTTAAAGTGGGGTATTTATTTAAAAATTTTTTTTTTCTTTCATTAATTTTTTTTCTTTTTTTCGATAAGAATCGTCTGAGCACTGTCGCTTCAATTACGCAAATGTAAATCTCTCTCTCTCTCTCTCTCCCTCGATACTTGCGAAAGGGGATATAGGAACTTATTCCGCACGAAGAAATACACCTACACGATTCTCTTATTTATAAAACCGATATAAACGATGGAGTTGAAAGGCTGAGCTACCGCAAAGCAATCACCATTATCATGCGGGTCAGTATTTTCTATGTATCGATTTTGATAATATGTTTATATATATATTATAACGACGATTGTCGACGCAAAATCCATAGAAAGTACTTGAGCGCAAACTTTATATATATATATATATATGTGTGTGACTTTCTTTGATCGAGATTGTGGAAATGTTCACCTATGGGGAAGAAAGTTGAATTTAGTCTTTAGAAATTTTATTGAGTCAATTATTTTCAAAGGAAGACATGTACTGTGTGCTTGTTGGCTTGTTTACTTTATGAGCCTCGTGTACTGTCTTTATGGAAAACGGAAATTGTTTTCAACAGAGTTATAGAGATAATTATTAATGAAAGAGTCTATAAAACATGTCAAAATCCATTAGTTCCGGAAAAATCAATCAAAATTGTATGCTTTTTCAAAAGGTAAAAAGGTAAAACTTTTTTTTTGGAGAATTTTAGATTTGAATTTTCTTTAAATTGTTTTTGATATTTAGATATAAGAACTCTTTTAATAAGCAAAAAAAAAAATCTTTTTGTTTTTTTTTTTACTGACAAAAATGATATTTCTTTTTCTTTTTTTTGAATAGCCTTGAAAAATGGCTAAATGATATTACATATTGTTATACATACAGAAATGACGGTATATACGTGCCATGACCTACTCAACTGGAATGTGACTGATTCGTACTTCATCCAGGGGCTAAAATAACATTACGTTTATTTTCGACACCTTGGCATGAAATTGGAAAATATTTTTGACTCTTATCGCGTTAAAATAAACCAAAATTTTTCGCAATTTATCCTTGGACTTGTAAAACGATGTTGTTCTATTCAATTTTGCCAATGATGCCATGACCTATCGCAATAATTTTAATTTTCTTTTCCAATGTGAATAATCCTTATTAGTGAATATTGGATCCAAATAAGCCAATAGAAAAATTGGAAAATAATAATTAATTATTTTAGAATATTTAAATTTGGAATTTTAAATTGATTTAAAAAAAGGTGATTAAAATAGTGCATTTAATTGTCGTGGTACAATTGATAAAAGGAATTAATAAGTTGATGAAAGAAGCTTTAAAAAAGATGATCTCCTAAAACAGGTTCATTAAACTTGTTGATTTATTGGTGAATGAATGAGGTGAAATATCTTGTAAAGGCCACGAAATACGTACTTATTTTAAATGAGGTAGAGAGAGAGAGAGAGAGAGAGAATTGTGGGTAGAAGGGAAGACAATAGCGTCTTTTGCGGGAAAGAGAGAATATCGTTAGCGCGCGCGAAGAGACCACAACATATACACGTATGTGTGGGTGTTTTATAATGAGGGGATATATCCTAATGAACGCAAAAATAATCCTTGAACCATGGTCAATATCCGTGTTTGTGTGTGTGTGTGTAACAAGGAACCAATGCCACATCAAGTCGAAAAATATTTATAGAATTTTTTTTTCTCTTTGTCTTTTTTTTTATTGATTTTTCTTTTTTGTTACAAAAATATGAATATAACAATGGGAAGAGAAAGGCAATATAAGTACCTTATATCCAAACTATCGTTATGTCCAGATCATTTCAAACAAACTGACGTTTCATTATAACAAATTTAAAAATACCAATTATTATTATCTCTTATATATATATATATATATATATATATATATATATATATATATATATATATATATATATATATATATATATATATATATATATATATGATATAATGATAAATTACCCACACGCGATTAATTAAATAATTTATCAAAATAAATTTTTCATACCGTCTTTGCAATTAATCACAATTAGTTTATTTTTTGAAATTATTAAAATTCT